CCCAGAAAGGGCAAATATTCACCTGTCAGCCTCCTGGTGCCCAGGCACTGCCCCCTCCCCCCTTTAATCCCCCCCCTGCCCTACCCTGCACCCAGTTATCTCACTAAATATGGTGTAGAAAGATCAGTAAAAGCCTGAAAAAGCCATTGAAGGCTTCAGGACGCCTCCTTTACCTGTCTGCCTGGATCGTAGAAAACCTGCTCGGTGCCTTGCTGGTGCTGCAGAAACACACCCCCAAACATCACACTGTTTAACAAAAATCCAACTAATTAATTCATGAATCAGGTATTATCCTATCAAGACAGTGGAAAGGTATTCTGAAGAGCTAGCAAAATGAAAGGTTTCTATAGGCAGAAAGAGGACAAAGATAAAGGAAGAGGGAATTATCTCAGGCTTAGGTAAACTACCTATGGGGAATGGAGAAAGCTCTTATAGCAGGTTATCTCATCTTCCTTTGGGTGGTAGAGAAGATTATCTCATTGGTGCTGACCAGAAAATTCCACCTGCCACACCTAGGAAAGACCAACATCTTTCACTTCTAGATTATGAGAGAATACCACATTAGTGTAGACTAGAGCTTGACCTATAGGCAGATGCCATATTGAAACTGGAACCCACTGGGCAAGACCAGCTCTTTCCTGCTGCAGCCTGAGCACCAGGAGCCTTTGGAGCAGCAATAGTGGCTCCTCCTCTTCCACCCCCTCCCCCCACCAGAGTTGCTGTCTGGCACCCAGGAGCCCCTCTCCTGGGTTTGAGGGTGGAGCCCCTAAGTTTCCCATGTAGAGCAGGAGTGGCCCACTGGCTGCCCAAAGTGCTGCCTCTGGGCAGCTCCTAAGCTGTCCTGCAACCTCCAGGACATCTACACAGGGGCCCTCCTCAGTGGACCAGGCTTGATGGCTTCACTGGCACTAGCTGGGTTTGAGCAGCAGAGCCCCTGCCCCTGCTTAGGGCTTCAGCACCTGGCCTCAGAGCCTGCTTGTGAGCAGTGCAAGTGGCAGAGGGTGGTGGGCATTTTACCACCTGCCACCAGTGGCCCAACTAAAGCTCAGGCTGCCGGCGGAGGCTGGCAGTGATGGCCGGTGGCGGTTGTTCCCCTATCATGCCACTCCAGGGCCTGCAACCTCGTTGGGGCTACAGAGGCAAGGTTCACCTCTGCTGTAGTAAGGTCTGGCATAGGAGACAACACCTAGCCCCACAGCCACTGGCTCAGGGCTGCAGAGAGAAGAATGGGGCCCCACAACCCCACTGTGCCATCTCCAGGGCTGAAGCTCCCTGGAGCCACAGGCAGAAGAGAGGTCCGCGGAGTCCTGGAACAATATGACAAACTCCCAGAGGAGGCCACCCTGCAGTGCTGCTGCAGTACGGCCTCCCCACCCCACTTCTACATTGTTACACCTAGTCCAGCTGAAGTTGTAATAAATGTAGAGCCTTTGACCCCACTGGGACTGGCTTTGGTTGTGGCTCCTCAGAGCCCACCATCCCATGAGCTTGCCCTGAAGTCAGGGCAGGTTAAGTCTGTGGAGGCACCATTTTATATTTGGCTCCTGGATCATAGAATGGACCAGTCAGGTATGAGCAAAATGAACCAAATTATGTTCAATCAGTTCATTAGTTATTTAGATTGAAAATCAAGAATGGGCTGATTGGCCCTAAATTGAAAATGGTCCAATCAGGCATGTATGGTGGGGGGCCCTGAAAGAGAATTTAAGGCAGGGAAGGAGCCAGCTTAGACCACTCTGGTCCTGGCCTCCGAAGAAAGTAGAAGCATCCAGCAACCTACCTCCGAAGAAAGAAGAAAAGCTGAAGAGCTTAACAGAGATCTGACCACTGCACCTGCCTTTGACATCATCTGAAAGGACCACCAGAGGCCCTGGATCTGTTGTCTGAAAGAGCTGTTTGTTGTTGGGGTAGGTCAACAAATCACAAAGAGCTGTTAACACTGGTGTCTCTGACACTGCCTCCTGGTGACCACCTCCTGGTGGCTGGCCAGTACTGTCCAGCACCATTGACCTGTGACCAGCACTCTGTGTCCTGGTCATCTCTGAGAGCCCTCTACCAATTCTGATCATATGGCCCCAACTCCTGGTGCTGTTGTCTCTGTTGTTATCTTGTCTAGCATCAAGTATTGTACATCCTCACCTTCAGATGGTTGCTGTGGGCTGTTGCAGTGTCATCTCAGCAATCCCAGCTGAGAGCACCCCCAGCTGCCACTATAAGTTGGATCCTGGCCTACTGCTTCCTGGTGTGCCACCATCTCCAGGTCCTTGTTGACAGGACCGCACCATCTGAATGAGCAGCCTTTGTTTGGGACTACTGGACACTGTGGACACACTTGTGGCCTTAGAAGCTCTTTGTTTCCCATTTTTAAAATAAAAGCCACTGTTGTTGTGCCCTGAATCTGGGTGAATCTTACAATTGTTCACACAGGTGAGAACCATATATATAGTGACCTGGCCACTATCTTGACACTTGTCCTTTGAGGCTATAGCATCCTGCTATAGTCCTGTTTCAGATATATAAATGGAGGTAGAATGAGGTGGAAGAGGAGATATGTGGAGAGAGACATGTAGGTGAGAAATGTGGGGAAGCTGCTCTTGCTCCTTTGTCTTGGCAGCTTTAGCATTATGGCAGCCATTATCTTGACCTTGTGGTGAAGTGTATGGTACATTCTGAATTTCAGGTCTCTCTTTCTGTCCCAGCTCTTTAAGACCTGCCTAACTCCCTTCTTCTGGTTCCCTACCAGAGGTGCCTTAGACTTGTGCAAGACTTCAGGCTTCAGTGGCCAGACTTTGGCACAATCTATTTGGTTGGGTATTTACTCATGAAAGGATGGGTAATTTTCAGAGTTTGATCAGGAGTCTCTTATATGAAATCCTTCCTTTTACCCCCTCCCTTCCCTCTCCTTTTCCTTCCCTCTCTACACCAATTAAAGACCATTTATACTAAGAGTATGCTTTCTTTGCATTTACATATGGATGATTGCACCTTAGATCATGAATTTTCCCCTTAACAGTTTGGGGTTCCTGGCTACCCTTGAGTGATTACATTATTAGTATTAGCCTCTCAATGTGCTTAATTTACAATTAAACTATACTGTAAGTACATATGAATAGAAAAAAAAGAACAAAGCAAAACAGTACCAAACTCTAACATATGGTATCTGTGGTTTCAGGCACCTACTGTAGGGAGGTTGTCTTGGAAATTATACCCTGTAGATGAAGGGGATGGTATATTACTATGAAAACAGAACAGTATCTGTTACAGGAGGAAAAGGGTTCTGTTGTCTGGTTTAGGGTTTCCTGGATTTAGGAGTTCCTCGTTTCTTGACTATGGTGTGAAAAGAATACACAGCCATGTCTTTAGCAGAAGCAAAAGCAAAGTTTATTTAGAGAAAGAATAAAAGCACACCCAGGGAGAGGTCTCTGGAAAGAACAACTGAGAGGGGATTGTTGGGGCTCTGGTCTTAAATAGGGTGCAGGAACTCTGTCCCATCTGGCGTGCACTGCACAGATGCTCTGGGGGTTTTTGATGATTGGCCCAGGCAATAGTTTAGTTTCTAAGTCACTTCCCCTTCTACTGTGCTCCAGGGATGTAGTTTTACCAGTCCTGGCAGCTGGCAAGGGGAGGGCCGAGCATTGGGACTGAGTTCCCATGCTTTCAAGCAGTTACCCTGCTTTCAGCAGTATCCTTCCCTTTGACGGGGAGAACATCCTGTTTTGGCTTTTTTTTTTTTTTTTTTTTTCCCTGGGTATTGCTTGTCTTTTTTAGGGGAATTGCCTTATGACCCAGAAACTGGAGGATAGTTTTTGAGGAACTGTGCCCCTCTGGGTGCTTCTTGCTCTTCTCGGCCTTTATGGCATACCTGTAGGTTGGTGTGGGTGGGCTGCCTTTCTTCTCCCTGGCCCTTCCTGGGCTTTATCAGCTCTGGCAGTTTCCTGGGGTTCTAAGTAAAGTTGTGAGTTTCATTTTCTTTAGGCATTGTATAAAGATTCCGTGACGCTGGCTCCTCTGTTTGGCAGGACTAACGATGTCCTCAAAAGTCCCAAGCATCTGACCTTTGCTCCCAGCAGCAGGGCTGGTTCAAGCGCAACCAGTTTTTCAGGCAGCTGCCTCCTTTATTTTCTCTCTGTGCTTTGCTGATCATGGCTTTAAACAAAATAACTTTGCGTGTGGTGTGATGGCTGCATGTACTCTGGCCTTTAGGCACAGCAGCGCCCGAGAGGCAGTCAGCCACCGCAGCCGGGACACCGACTAGCAATCTGCAGACAGAGATTGCAGCCTGAGAAACAACGCTCAGCGCAAAGGGGCGCTGAGGAGGGAGGAGCAAAGCAGCCGACGCCACGGTGCATTGTGGGAGTTGGAGTCCCCGCGGGGCGGCCGCCGCAAGCCGGCACCGTCCTCTGCACTTCATCTCCCAGCCGCCCCTGCGCGGGGGACCGGCGAGGTGAAGAGTGGCCGCTGGGGGAGGGGGCTTGGGGCAGCCATCGCCTGGCAGCCCCGCCAGGAGACGTTAACCTCTGCAGCCCGAGGGCTGGAGGGGCTGTGGGCCGGCGGCGGCGACCACGAGGGTAGTGAGGCCGCCCCGCGTCCCTGTGCGCACCCTCCCCTCTCCCATGGCGCGCGGCGTCCGCCATGGAAGCGCCCGGTTCCGCTGCCGGCGTCTCCGGGCGCCGCGACCCCGGCTCCCCGCGGCGGTGAGGGGGTAGAGAGACGCCTAGCGGCGCGCCTCCCGCCAGGGCCCGGGCCCCGGGAGAGAGGAGGCTGGTCTGGCCGCCGGGCTGACCAGGGACCCCTCCCCCGCTCGCCTCCCCGTCCCCCTGGGGGCGCTGCCGAGGGGCGTCCGCCACCCATGAGGTGTGAGCGCCCGGCCGCGCCCGGCGCCCGCCGCTGAAGCCCAGGACGCGCGCCCGCCGGCGCCCCCCGCGCCCCCCGCCCTGAGCCTACCGCCCTCCGCCCCCCAAGATGTGGCACAACGTCGGGTTGACCCTGCTCGTGTTCGTGGCCACGCTGCTGATCGTCCTGCTGCTGATGGTGTGCGGTGAGTGGGGCATCGTCCTGGGGCATCTGCGCACGGTGGTGCCCACGCGAGCCCGGCGGCTGTGCCCACTTGCTTGTTCTGCCTGTGTTTGTATTTTTTTTTTTTTTTTGAAGGCGTGGATGTTCAAGTTTCTTAAATCATCTGTTGTCCAATTCTCAGGACTGAGCTCACAGATGTACCCCTGACCAATGACAGGCCCGCTGGCATCATGGAAAGGAAAAAAGAGCAAGATCCAGGGCTGGGCATCTTGACTAGGGTTAAAACAAATACTGCTTCACCGGCAGCGTCTGCTCTTGATTGCCATTCTTACCACGGTCTGCCCAGATTTTAACCTTGGCCTGTATTCGAAGGTGAAGTGATTAGTTACTCCTTTTTTTTTTTTCTTTTTTCCTTTTTTTTTTTTTTTTCTTTCTCACAGGTCCTGACCTGATAGTAACTAGAGATTTCTCTACCTTCCTTTAGTCATGCCTAGGGTACTGAGTTGGGTTTTAAGCACGTATGAAATTGTTTACTCGGAGTTCAGACTTAAGCTAAATTCCAAACTGAGATGTTGAGACTCTGCAGAACTTAAAAACACGGGCTATATTAAACTGACAGGGTCAGGTAACCTAATTCTTGAGTTCTGTAATAATAGTGCTATTTTGTTTGCTGTCGATTATTTTTCTTCTTGCAATGAGAGGACGTTAAACTTTCTATCAAGGTAATGTTAGTGCAGTTTCACATCTTTTGATTTCTTTATATACAATAACTGATAATCGCAGAAGGTGTTTTAGGGTAACTGAGCAGTTGTGAAAATTGGAAAGCAGATGTCAGTGATTCTTTCGTCATTACAATATTGAAATATGGGTTCAGATTGTTGAAATACTGGTCAGAATTCAAAATAAATACCGCAGGGCCTGGTCATTACACGATTAATGTACTAAATGCTCAATATTGGATCTATGTTTGGAGAACTGTATGCCCTTGTGCATATGCACATATGTATATTTGTATTTTTATGCTTGTATGTACATTTTCAATTTTTTTCCTTTGCTTTAATGAAGTACCAGAATTAAAACTTCTAACTTACAGCCTTTCTTTTCTGATAATAAAAAAAAATTCCTGCTTGTGATGTCAGGACTTGGGGCTAATTGTAGAAGTTTGAGATTCTTGAAGTAAGGAAAAAAGATTTTTATTTGTTTGGATGTGAAGCAGGAAAATTTGTTTTCTTTTCTAATTTGAAGGTAGAGCTACCTACAGATGCGGGTGTGACATGTAGATCATACCACACGTTGGGTAGAATATTTGCCAAACTTGCCTTTGTGTTACCAAAATTCCTAACTGCTACATATATATTAGCCTGGTTCTCTCTGATCCCAATAGATATTTGACTTTAATTTTACTCATTTTTGTAAAAATGTGTTGCCTTTGGTTTCACAGAACTTTATGGAATGATAGGTAAGGTGTGTTAAGTAAAAGAACATCTTATTTTGATTGGAATAGTCAAGAACTAATAGCTATATAAAGTAGTAATTTGAAACTTTTTTGTTGGGAGAGCTAATGATGGGATAGCTTAATGTTTTGGCTTTGATGTGCCTGGGGTTTGGGGAGAGAAGGGATCCAAACAGACTTGAAGAGAGAAACCAGGACATTGTATTATTGATAGTTTGCTGAAATTGCCTTAACAAAATACCACAGAATTTTTTTTTTTTCTCACATTTTGGAGGGTACCAGTTCAAGATCAGGTATCAACAGGGTTGAGTTCTTCAGAGGCTTCTGTCCTTGACTTGTGGATGGCTGTCTTCTCCCTGTGTCCACACGTGTTCTTTCTAATATCTGTATCTGTGTCCTGATATTTTCTAATGACATCAGACATACTGGATTAAGACTCCACCCATAGGAATTCACTTCATGTTAATTAACTCTTAAAGGCCTTATATCCAAATGTAGGCAAATTGGGAGTTAGAAATCTATGATAGAGGTCTGCTCCAAAAAACTCATAGTCTAGTTTGTTTTAGAACTCTGACAGGCTTTCACATAGTGAATTTTTAATTTTCGATTTTTAATTTTCTGGTTCAGACTTGAGGAGAGTTCCTTTTGTCCATATTGGTTGTATTTACTTTCTTATTTCTCATTCTAAAATGTTTTCCATCCCCACCATTCATGGAAACTGCCCCTGTCAAGGTCAGTCACAAATGACCTCCATATTGTCTAGTCCATGGTTACTCATTAGTTCTAATTGTTCTTAAGGAACTCTTAAAAAACAAAGCTCATCTGAATAAATCTAATGACTTTATAAATGATTCATGAATCAGGCAACAACCCATTTAGCAAGTAGAAAAGCACTGCAAGGAATTTGTACAAAATGGAAGGTTTTTAATAGTCAGAAAGTGGTGGGCTAAAGTTATTAGCAAAAGTATGTGGATTATTTTATTCCACATACTCAATCTATAGAGGTGAGCTTTCCCTCCATTAAATAGTTCTTTTGGCTTTTTTATATTATACTTTCTTGTATTCTTGCTACCATAGTGGCAAATTTGATTTTCGTCTCCTAGAATTTCTTAACTTTTTGATCACAGTCTAAGGTAGAAAATGCATCTTAGATTATTTCAAGTACATTCATAAGTCTACAAATTATACCTATTTCTGTAAATAAAAATTTTATGGACTAGTACCCATTTTCTGTTACAGTCCTTTATTATGTTGTAGTACAAATATGTATTTTTTCCTTTTCTACTCTCTCCCTATGGTGTCTTAGATTTAAATATATAGTCTTAGAGCTTTAAATATTACTTGTAACTAATGATTAAAATTAATGTCACCAGTTCTCACTTCTCTCCAGAGCCCCAGGCTCATGCATCAGTTTTTATCACTTGATATTTCCACTTGGAAATCTAATAAGCATCTCAACTTAATGCATCTAAAATAAAACTTGATTTCTACCATCTAATCCTCCATCCTTTCACTCTCGTGTCTTCCCCATCTCATATGTGAACAGTCAGGGATGTCAGTGCCCTCCTGATCTGCCCTTTCCTCTACTCCCCTTCCCCTTCAAAAATATCACTTCCTTCTGGAAATCACTTCAGTTTTTTCCTCTCTGAAAAATGTGAAATATGTTCTTTTTTCCATATCTGCCACCACCATCATCATCATCTTTCACTTCCTTTTAGTTGCCCAATTCTTACTTTTCAACTCCCTTTTCTTATAATCCACTTTTCATATGCTAGTCTCTCTTGTTAAGAAAATATGTTCTCAAAAGTTTTAACAAAAGGAAGTTTCACAAGCCAGTAGTACTAAAAGGTGTAAAAAAAAAAAATAGTTCCATTCAATCTGTAGTAACTGTTCCCACTAGTTATTTATTTCCAGTCCTAAATAGTTTATTCATAGCTATTTCTTGATTTTAAAATTTTAGGCATTATGTATTAAACATAGTAGAATCTCCATTAATAATGACAATTTTTAGAGCCTCCCTGGTGGCACTGGGGGTTAAGATGCAACCTATGAAGCTATCCTATGAAGCCATCCACAACCACTACAGCACCAGTTCGATCCCCGGCCAGGAAGATACTCTCCACATGGCACAGCAGATCTCTCCTGTCTCTCCTGCTGCTCCCCTCAGTGGTGTGTTTCAGTCAGTCTGCCTGTTCTGCTCCCCACTCTGTCTCTGGTGAATCTTCTTACCCCCTACACCTCTGGCCTGTACCCCATTTCTTGTATGCGCACATAAATAAATCTTTAAGAAACATGACAATTTTTAGTTAAGTGGAGAGTCAACATTTATATTTCGAATGTTTAAGTAATCCCTGCTGGTCAAATATGACTATACGCTTTTATAAGTTTTTCCATTTTTCTTGAAATAATTGCCTTTTAAATTTATCTAGTTTTATTTTATTTTATTTGTACTTCTACATTGTTATTCATCTCCCTCGGCATATTTTTCCATAATCTCACACATCTGTCTGTAATATTTCCCATAGATTCAAATGAATTGCTCCTTTTCTACCCCCTGGTCCTCTCCAAGTCCCATTGCTCTCCTTCCTTCTCAATTCCTATCATTATCAGCCTTTTGCTTTCTATGCTGTAATCCCAGTTTTCTGTATCTATCACATCATTGTTTTTCTCAGTTTACACTCTTGTTTTATTGGAGCACATCTTGTAATGATTTTCTAAGAAAAAATGCATGGTAACAATTTTTTGAGCAATTTATTTTTCTGCTTTTATACTTCCTTGAAACTTTGAGTAGATCTAACATTGCAGATAATTTTCATCCAACATTTAAAAATTATTACTTCATGAATTTTTACCTTCCTGGATACAATTTTGAAAAATCCAATGCTTTTCATTTCTTGTCCTTATAAGTGACCTGGTTTTTCTTCTTAGGTGCTTCCAAAGAATTTATCAATTTTTATATTTTACATTTTTTTAAAGTCCTAAGAAATTGTTGCTTACCCCAAGTTCACAAGGATTGGAGTTCTCTCTTTCTTTGTTAGTCTAACTAGAGGTTTATCAATTTTGTTTATCTTGTCAAAGAACCAACTTTTAACCAACTCTTAATCAGTCTCTTCATAGCTGTAAACTATTATTGTGTTGTCATTGTGCTTCTCTTTTGTTCTGTTAGTAATTTTTGTGTTATGTATTTTGGTGCTCCATCATTTGGTGCATATATATATTTGTAAATGTTATTTTTCTTGTTGTTTTACACCCTTTCTTATTCTTAACATGATTACTGTATTTTTTAATTGAAAATTTATTTTATCTGATTTAAGTATAGCTGTTTCTGACTTTTTTTGATTATCATTTCCTTGTAGGATTGTTTTCCAGGATTTAAATCTGTGCTTGATTTGATGGTAAGATGAGTTTTATGCAAATGGCAGAAGGTTGGACTTTGTGATATAGCCCAATCAGCCACTCTTTCCCTTTTTATTGGTGAACTCAAGCCACTTACATTTAACGTGTTAAAAAAATTTTTAGTTTGTCATTTTATCTTTTAACATTTTTCTCTTATGTTTGTTTATTTTCCATTTCCATTGTCTTATGTGTTACTTCTGTTGAGTTTTATTTGATAATTTAGGTGTCGGGTACCTGTATTTATTTTTAATTGCCCCTTTAGTACTTCTTTCATGTATGACTTGGTGATGATATATTCTTTTAATTTTAGCCTTTCACTGAAGCTCCTGCCTCTTCCTCTGTCCTAAGTGGTATTTTTTTTTTTGTAAAGATTTATTTATTTATGCATACAAGAGGTGGGGCACAGTCCAGAGATGTGGGGGTAGGGGGGATGGTGAGAGGATTCACCAGAGACACAGTGGGGAACAGAACAGGCAGACTGTGTGAATACACTGCTGAGGGGAGCAGTAGTGGTTGTGGCAGG